CTTGGTTTTGTTGTGGGGTTATGTGACAGTGATGCAGCTCTGGCACTGATGTGCCAACAGATCTGATCTGTGATGCAGCTTGATGTGAGGATCTGTGGGTGGCTGCGACTTGCCGAGGGAGGAGAGAGATTAATGGCACACAGACTGACAGCTGTACCTGGGAGGGACGACACAGAAGAAGCATGAATTCCTTCCTGAGCCTGGAGAAAGACTTAATGCTCTGAGAGAGGAGAGGGATGAGGCTGTATGCAGAGCTGCTCACGGCGAGTGTTTGAGCTGATATCAACACACAACCCACCACTAGTTTGCATTTATGCCACACACACACACACACACACACACACACACACCAGATAATGGTGTTTAGCTGCCACTACGGAGCCTGAATGAATCCAGCAGAAGTCCACGTGCAGGTGACTCACCATGGTGAGCTCGGCCTCCAGCTCTTTGATCCTGTTCTCCTTCATGTCCATCTGAGAACGCAGGATGTTGGCCTGCTCCGTGGCTTCTTTGGTCTGCCTCCTCAGGTCCCACTTCTCTCGCTCCAGCATGTCTTTCTCTTTCGCCAGCGCTTTTACTGCATCCTCGCTTTCCTGCAGAAGTGGCACACAGTCCCTGTTACCTGCCAGCCTGACGGTAAATACTCCGGTCCTCGTGAGCTCCTGTCCTGCAGGTTCTAGACGTTTCTGCAACACACCTGACTCACATTAATGGATCACTAACAGAACTTGTGTAGAACTTGACAACAAGCTGCTGGAGATCCATTCATGTGAATCAGGTGTGTTGCAGAAACGTCTAGAACCTGCAGGACAGCAGCTCAGGAGGACCGGAGCTGGAGATCTCTGGTTTAAATGATCAGAGGAGCTCCAAATCTGAGTCAAGAAGCAAATCACAGATAAACGTTGTAGTCGATGGTGTGTTAAAAGGGATGCACCTTCTTAAATCATGGCTCCATGAGGTTTATTATTTCAGACTGCTCAGGACAAAATCTAATAGTTGTAAGAAATAAAGCGACGTCTCGGCCAAACGTTCCTTTTTCCACATAAATTAACATTTAAGATGTCTGTCCTTTATTATTATTGTGTTATTTTATGGACTTTTGTATGAAATACATTCTCATTTACATCAGATTCACCTGTAAAACATTGAATAAAGGGCTGAACAAACTATCATCTATTTAACTTTAGTTAACGTACAATTTTTGTCAGCAGTCGTCATTTTTCCCATTTTACGTCTGTGTCTTTTTGTCATAGTTTATCTGGTTATATATAATAGTTTCTAACATATATAAGAATAAGCATCACTGTTATGTGTGTATTGATATTTATTTAGTGATATAGGTTTATGAATACATCACAACTACACCTGAAAGCTGCCGTACACGTAGATAAAGAAGGATAATATAGTAAAAAGACTGTTATTGGCAAATACTGTACATATTAAAGACTTTAAAATCCTTATAACGTCACACAGATATAGAATAATGTGTTAAACTCTTTATTAAATACTTGTTCTGCTCATAAATGCTGACTAGAGTGACTGTAGGTGTTCCCACGCTGGTTGACATTTCACAACTGAAAAATAAACTCGTCGACGCTCTCTGGCAGCAAAAATGGAGACACTCCTCCAGAATCCCCTGAGCTGTCATTTCCCACCGGCTGACACGTACACAACCAACGAAGACGTATCTGCAGCAGCTTAATGCTGATGAATGGGCCACGGTACCTTTCTGTGCTGGTCGTAGTTGCGAATGAATTCCCGGAGCTGCTCCTCTCTGCTCTCCAGTGTCGTGTACAGCTGCTGCATCTGGCTCACCAGGTCCGCCTTCTCCACCTTTAGACGCTTACGATCAGCTTTCATAGCTGCAACGCACACACAGACACACCAGTGAGCTTTTAAAGGTCCATTTGACTGTCTGATAAACCAAATGTATAAAAAACAAAGCCTTGTACTTGCAGCAGCGATCCACTAGGTGGCACTGTGTCTCGCTTTAATAAGAGGTGCAGCTGGTGTGAGGTTTTCTTTTTTTTTTTCTTTTTTAAGGAGAAATGGCCCAGAGAAAATGATGTAATCATTACAAAAGACAAGTGGCACAGTGGCCCTCATTGGATCTTACAAGAAGCTGCTTCTGTTGGCATGTGGAGTCTCTGTTGGCTCATCCTCAACCAGAACCAGTGCATCTGATTTCTCTCATTGTGTTGCAGAGACAACTCCCAGCCCTGATGCAACCAGTGGGGCTCGTTGCAGGTAAAAACAACAGCAGAGCTCTCCTGAGAGCGAGCGCTCAGCAGAGAACCTGTACTTTCCATAAGTGCACACGTATGTGACTCGGGGAGCATTCCTCCCGCCAGCCTCAGAGGTTACGCCGAGCGTTTAAACCTGTTCTGCAGCAGTTACATGACAGTTTACGAGCTCCCAGTTTACCACCTGTGACTCTCTGAGCAGCCACGCTGAGCAGTTACACTAAAGTAAACCACAACTGAAGCCTTTTCCTTTTTATCTGTGCTGCTGCGAGTAATTATCCATAAGAGCGACGAACACATCAATATTTCATCTTCTAGGTCATGATTGATGGATGTTAATTAAAAGGAGGTTAACCTGGAGTCGACTTGGCTGCTCATCAGGGGCGACACCCATTTCTGAGACTGAATAATGTGTAAAAGCCTGCATGTAAAGAGAGTTATGATCTATTTAATGCCACTAATGTACCATATAAGTCACTGTCTGTTCATTATTCAGTGTTTAAACTGGAAGTTATGTCAGTCTGGAGGAAGAAATGTGTAAAAGACTGATTTTCAAACATGGATAATGCACAGACTCTGAGTTTAGTGCATGTTTTGTAGCTGGATCGTTCATTCTTGTTTGTTGTCTACAGATTGAGGAAACTTCTGATGAACTAAATCAACACATGCTGGTCCAGTAAGAACCCACAAGTTCTAATCAATAGTTCTAAAACTGTTGTGCACATGATGAAAGCAACCAGGAAGTTGAATTTAAAGGACACATGATGATCTAATTATTTGTCATCCACGATATCAAGCCCAGAACATGCATCTATGTGAAAGAGTTCAACGTATAACATGAACGTTAGCCAGTTACTATGAGAAATCCTGGGAAATGAGGGAAAAGGCTCATTTTGCACATAAACCTATGTGGTTTGACTTTATCCAGAACTACATATGTATGTTTAAACATGTGCTGCCAGATATCTGGTTGCATTTTAATGTTTGAAACATCACAGATGTGCCAAAAGTTTGGCCAGACATGGAGATAAAACCTGACTAATCGCCACTGGCTGCTTTTCTGTGGTGAAGTGGATGTGAGCCTGGACAGCTGTATTTGCTGTATATCTGAGGTATGTAGCTGTTGGGAACAAGGGTCCGGGGCGGATTAGTCGAGCCCACAGGACGTCTGCGTTGCCTCCTGACCTTGTAAGGCCTCCTTGGCACGGTCCAGCTCCTGCTCCTTGTCACCCAGCTGCACACGGAGCTCGGTGGCGGAGAGCAGATTGGCAGAGCAGCCTCCCTGGGTCTCCTCCAGGTCCTTACTCAACATGTCCTTCATTTGCCTCAGCAGGTGGACCTCCTCCTGGAGCTGGACCACCTCCTCACGCAACAACACTGAGGAGAAAACGGTTTGAGAAGTTAGCGGACGCCGAGGAGGAATGTGGGAAGTAAGGAAAACAGAAAATCACACAAAGGCTCAGGGAGAGTAGAAACAACAAAAGGGAAAGAGAGAAAGGAACATTAGAGGGATAAAGACACAAAAAGAGAAGCTAACTATGCAGGAAATTAGCAGCCGTGTAACAGCTGGAATTAATGAGGAAAGGTTCGATTATGCAGCATGATAAACGACACCAACTTATCAATCCCCACTAGACGCGCTGCTTCCCTTAAGCTGTGGCCACAGGTGTTTTAGAAATGTAGTTAAATGCTGAGTGACAGACTCAGGACTGGCGCTGGCGTTGGCAGCAGGCAAGTGAGAGACAGCAGTCTGATAAGACTTAATAAAATATAGGCAACACTCGCTCCCCGCTGCTGTTTTCTCCATATGCTGCCTCCCATCCCTCGGGGACAACAGGCAAGCAAACAGGAGCAGGAAGCTGAGGAGAGGACGCCGCGGACTGAAGAGTGAACTCAGTAGCCGGTGGAAAGCCAGAGGACAGAAACAGAGAAAAAAGTCCAGAGAAGGAACCCCGTAGCAGGAACAGTGTCATGATGATTTATACGGCGTACAGACGGGTTGAAGGTCTGTTCCAGCAGAATGCACACTCCTCATAAGAACAAAGACAGATGAAGCACGCAGTCAGCCGAAACATTACGGACAAAAAAACCTGCAAACTCAATGATGAATTTCTAATTGTACAAAACGTCTTAAAGGTTTGGATGAGCGCAGCGAAAAAGAAGCAATTTGGAGCACGTGTAGGGAGATTAATTAGTAGATGAGCAGAAATATGACTTTGATTAACAAGTGGTTGTTTAAACGTCGATCATCTTCTCATGTGTGGACTTTCTGCTCTTAAGGACTAAAAATGGGATAATTTGAAAACTGTGACAGCTTGAGAAGTCCAGTGAGAAAACAACTGACTGATAAATCAATAAGAAATCAATAACTACCTTCTAAACTGACATGTGACTGAGAACCTGCAGTGATGCTCGAGTCACTGGAGGCTGTGATGCTCATTGAAAGAGGAGCTAAATGTTCGACAAATAAAGTTTAAAAATAACACGTCAACAAAAGCACCCCGCCCACATCATGTGTTTTATTCTAAAACACACGACTAGGAATCAATGATTTGCACTTTCTGGCTGTAAGATGCAACACTGAGGATTATTTATTCAGTAGTTGTTGATGTATTTCAGTCTGGACCAGAGAGGAGGACGGATCGACCGACTGTCAGACGTTTCCATCCACTCCAGCTTCTAGAGTTTTAACAAGTAAAAATGTTTCCTCAATTTTATGCAGATCCATAAAAGACTCCGTACAAAGTAAGTAAAATCCAGCGTGTCTGCAGGAGAGTGTGCATGTGTGAGGAGGAGAGAGGAGGTCTGAGCAGGCCTGCAGCCAGACGCTGTGGTTCTGCAGCAGCTCCGATAAGAGAGGCAGGGACAGTCCATCGGTCTCTGTCAGCGCAGCACTGTGGAAGCACACCAGGCAGCTCTGTGCTGCATGTGACAAAAACAGTTTGTTTCCCAGAGAGAGCAATCTTTCATGGCCTTCTTGCAGCGTAAATCCGCTTATTCATCTGTTTACCTACAGGCCTTCCTATTTTCGTCACGGCGAGCCCAGCTGCAGCTTCTGATGGAGCCGGACGGAGAGCTGAGCGTTTCTGAGGTGTTTTGTTGTCTTCGGCTTAATCCTCGACTCCAAACAGGCTGTTTAATCATCAGCTGCGATGTGAAGGTTGATCTGCTGTTGTCATTAGCGATCAATTTGGAGAGCGCAGCGATTGTGCTGAGCAGAGATTCTGGTATTTACGGCGATTCTCAGACGAGCCAACCTGAACCTTCAGCGTCTCTGCAGCAGCTTACTGCTACGTGTCAGCACACACACAGGACTCAGCTTATATCTCTTCTATTGTAAGTCAATAACAAAGTGTGTGCGGGTTGTGTCTTCGGGGGTATTTACAGTGGATTTAGTGAGAAATGTGTGTAACTCACAGAGAAATCAATAACATAATTCTCCCAAATCCAATTTTGCATTAATTTTCAGCATCATCCTCTTAGCCAGTTATATACACGCAGCCACAAGCACACAGGCTGGTTACGTCAGTGTGCACACTTAAACAGTGCAAAGAGAACTTCAGATCGTCCTCAGACTGGGGAAGGGATGCACAGAGAAGCTGGCTGGTTGTGAACGGAGAGCTGATGGAGAGCGGAGCCATCTCCCGTCTCTGCCTATAGATAATTTACCTCCACACACTGTTTCACGCCATCTAAAAAAGCAATTTAAATTGACAGGGCTCATATAAACCACGCAAAGGCAGTATATGCTGGGAGCCTTGAGTGGTTGCGCAGCGAGCTTGGCCAAAGCTATTAGAGTCCTCCCACATAAGAAACCCACTCTTCTTCCTACTCAGCAGTGGCCCATTCAATGAACTTCTCATCCAAGCCTCCCATTAGTGTGCCCATCAAAGCCAGTCAGGAGCAGGTCACTCCCTGTCCCTGTGCCTCGCATAGCAGAGCTGTCAAAACCCAGCACACACACACACACACACACACACACACAGCATTGTGGCTGCAGACTCATGATTAGGCTTGAGAGAAAGCAGAGGCAGTGAAAAAGCAAAGCGGGAGTTGGAAATGTGTCGATCGGTGGCCAAAGACCTGAACTAGTCTCCTGTGAACCATATGCAGGATTAAAGTGGCCCTGTTTATATACATGACTGATCAGAGATGCTTAATGTGCACCGTGTTGGAATATTAAGCCCGCGCCACAAAGTAAATCTAAAGTTATGGCGCTCGCTGCAAAAACTTATTCAATTTTAAAAGCAGTTTCCGAGTCTTCACCGTCTGCCGTCATTAAACAATTACATCACTAACGGACAGTTTTACAGCAAGTGAGCTGACAAACTCTTTCAAAAACTTCCTTTAGCAGGTTTATCTGATTGGAAACACAGCCTTGGGAATTTTTCTGGGCTTTCTGCTTTACATTAATTCAGCATATAACCTGTTAAAACATCACTTTAATAAAAAAAACTACCAACAACACATTAAAAAAACACAAACGATGTTTCTGTCCTTAATGTGTAGTTTTGGTTCCAGGTTTTGAGGCGTCTCTGTGATCTTATATTTGTTTGTGCTCCTTAAACCAGCGGCTCTTAAACTAACATCAGTTTGTGTTTGTGATGATTCATAACTTTGTTGTTGTTTGTGCATTAATGCGTTAAAAATGAATGTGTTAATTCACAGATTCATCTCTTTACATTAAGACGGTGAATTTCTTTTGCATAAATGAATGAACTGAATTTATTTCAAAGAAATGAAAGGGAAAAAAAATAAAAGAAAATAATTATAAAAAGACCAAAACAGAATAATAATATCATATAATCAAATCATACTATTAACAAGTCCGATAAAGGAGTGGGAAGAAGTCCACACTGTTAATTTTAACAGCCCTAATACTCATTTATTTGATAAATGTAGGCTTTATTTTTATTTATTTATTTTTTTTTACAATGATCTGGCGACCCCCTGAAATTATCTTGGGACCCCCATAGGGGTCCCAACCCCTAGTTTGAGAACCACTCATTCATTATTCTTCATTACTTTCTAATGTCTAGAAGCCTGATCAGCCGGCTGGTGTGTCGTGATTCCTCCTGCGATCTGGGTTAACTGAGCCTTTTACGTCTACAGTAAAGAACGCCAGCACTATGAGATGTAATATATTTAAAACCATAAAAATACGACTGGAAAACTGCGAAAGGTGTCAAAAAATCTCCTCGCCAACTGTTCTGCCCCGAGGAGCTGCGATGTTCACGCCTGTCGCTGTTCCACCTTCGTCTCACTGACAATTCCAGTCTGTGTAATTTCAGCGAGTACAGTGGTTCCACTCAGCTATTTCTGTCCGAGACGAGTCCAGAGGCGACGCTGCTGCTGTTCTGCTCCACTAATCTCTCAGGTACAGTAACCGATAGCTGGATAACAAGGTCACACGGCGCCGTGTGCCTTTACTACAGTATTTAGTGCTGCTGTAACCGTCACACACACTCAGCTGCTTCATTTACCCGCAAACACCTGAAATATGAACAAAATAGGTTTCAACAAATGATCAGATGTTTCTACCTGATGTCATTGTCATTCTCTAAAAGGTCTTGTTGTGTCCTTGTTAAAGACAGTATAGTATATAATTAACATGCAGCTGCCTGACGGAGGAGGGCTGCTCCATCTGGTCGAGCAGCTTTAGCTTCCCTGGAACTCTGTTCGAGGTACGACTGCGGTTTTTCCTGCAGGTATGTGCAGAAGACAACATAAAGCAGGTTTTCCTTCTGGAGGATTAGTGCTGAACGTTATTATCCTCTGTCAGCATTGTAAAATACAGTCCTGGGATTGAACTCTACTATAAATGTGGAGCCTGAAGGTTTCCTAAAAACCTTTCATTGTTTTTCTCTCTTGCCCTGTTGGCCCCTTTGGTATTGGTGCAAACTACAATATGCTATCTGTAACGCTGGAAACAGGTTGTGTGTATCTGAGGGAGGCGTTCGGGCGGATTGGAGTTAAAGGATGAAAACAGTAATGGCTTCCTACAGAGGAGGCTGAGAGATGTTCTGCTGCAGCCCTGTGAGAGGGTTCAGCTCATATTCACACACATCAAAGCAGCGTCATTAAACGACACATTTCTCATCCACTTCTAGGCAGCCAATAATTAAATCAGCATAAGGACACCGTATCAAAGCTTTAAACACAATTATAAGCAATATGAAAAACGCTCACTGGGGGATATAAGAAAACAATAAAATAAGAAAAGGTTCCTGCTGTAAGTGGCTGAAACGAGCAGACCTGCTTCAAACAGACTTTAAAATGCTTCATCATGAGCTCATCATGGGGGGCGGAGCCTATCCCAGCTGACTCAGGGTGAAGGCAGGTTCACCTGGACAGGTAACCAGTCTATCACAGGGCTA